TGTTCGTGACAAGGTCGCTGCTGGGGATTTTTTGGTCAATTTTGTGTCTACGAAAGATCAGCTTGCCGATATCTTCACCAAGCCGTTACCGGCTCCGCGTTTTGCAGCTCTTCGTGACAAGCTCAATGTTGTAGCCCTCCAACCTTTAGCTTGAGGGGGTGTATTAAGATGTATTACGTTACATGTTTGTATTCTTGGTATGATTAGCTATATTAGGATAGACTTTAATTAGCCTAGTCAATCAGTCTAATTAGTCTAGTCAATTAGCCTATAAGTTAGGGCTAACAACTGTATTTATATTGTAATCTTTCCTTCATTCCTATCTACCATAAACATAATACGTTCATTATTCAAAGGTGTATGTTTTTTGATTGATTGAAAGGTGTATGTAATTCTTCTACTCCACTCTTTTTCTATGTCGATGAAAAATTCATCACTATATCAATCACCCAAATACAATATACAGTGAATAAGACTTAGTGCTTTGATAAAAAATACTAGCACTAATCTTCAGGATTTTGTTGCTCCTTTGTTACTTTCAAGTAAGACTTGTTAGTGTTTTGATCACAAAGCCAGCTCTAATCTTATGAGTTCACACTCCTTTTAATTTGCAACTCACATCTATCTACCCTCGGTAGAGATCTATAATACAAGAAAAATAAATTTTTCACTCCAACTCTTAGAGACATAAGAATTATTAGTCTCTTTTCTACTGAATATTTCTATCAATTATGAATTTATCAGAACTTGAAGACTATATCAAGTTTGCTTGCTCACTACTACTTCTATAATCTTCAAGTCTTCATGCCTTTTTATAGATGATCAAACTTGTCCGTTGGAAATAACTAATCTTGGTCTTCAATCTTGGTTGTTTGTAGCTTGATTATTTGATGTGATGAAATTTTGATATGTAATTTTGGTCATTGTAGCAATTTGATTTGATGTGTTGAAATTTTCTCTTTGCTACTTGGTCTAGAATCATGCTTTTATTCATCTTTTAAAACCTTTTCACATTTGGCATGTATCATTCTTGGATCTTGTGCAGAAATTTGAATTTGAATGCAGTTGAGATTATATTTGGTCATGTACAAACTTTTGCTCTAAACCTCTTTTGCAATTTAGTTCTCCAATCTATGCTCTAATTTGCTCATTAGCTTGTGCTCTATTTGTGCTCCAATTTATGATTTGCGCTCCAAGTCTCCAACTTATGTTCATTGCAATTTGTGCTCCAATTGTATTCGTGCTCATTGAGAATTATGCTCTTTGTGCTACTACATACTATCCTCAAACTTCTACTCCAACTTGTGCTCATACTTATATACACATTTGTGAAGCCAATGTTCCACCTTCTTTCTTTAATTAATTCAAAACTTGTGCTCCAACTTATTCTCCAATTAAAAACTCTTCTTATAAAAATCTATTTATTACAATACAATTTATAAAAATCTTGAACATAAAATACAATTCGACTCATAAAAATCTATTTACATATATTCCCAACATAACGTAACTTGTAAATTTTTTGAAAAAAATACAAAAATAAAAAAGAGGTCCAATGATTCTATTAAATTCTTCTGAAATTTTGAATTATCAATTTTCTTTGCTCATCTAAGTATGAAAGGATTATCCATCGAATGATGTCCAAACTAATTCTATAATACCTAATCCATATATACATAAAGCCCAACAAAAATAGTGGGCATTTATTGCTAATTTTGAATAATACTTAATTATTGAACCAAAACTATTACCAACTTTTGCCGCAACTATTACCAACAATTGAACCAAAACTATTACCAACTTTGATATGACGAATTGTTATTAATTGATTAAAAGAAAATCATTTATGACTTGTCAAACTAGATACTCGTACATGTCTTACATGATTTTTAAGAAAAAGACAATGTTAGATGTCTTTACAAAAGTTACACGTACAATTTTTTGTCATTGATGTAATACTTTTTAGTAAGTTGATATTTGAAATTAAAAAATATATATATATTATGCAAAGCTTGCCACATCAGCAAAATTGAGTGGACTGTAGGTGTAGAAAGTATCTTTTAGATTTTCTCGACTTATTAAGTTATATTAGTCTTTTCTATGTGCGATTAACAAAAATATATGTTCAATATTTATATTTTAAAAAATAACTAACAAATTCTTACTAATTAAAATCTATGCGCATTAAATGTGTGCAAACACACTTAATCGCGTTTGCACATATTTAATGCGCATTCGCACACACTTCATCTAATCTAGACCATTAAAAAATATTAGATGGATTTACACGATTTGTTCTCACGTTCTCACCTAAGCAAGTGTTCTCATATGATCTTAAATCTATATATATATATATATATATATATATATATATATATATATATATATATATATACACACACACACACTATTATTTTAAAAAAAAAAACTAATATAACTAAGATTTTAAAATTAAATATTAAAATCTTAGTTATATTAATTTTTAAAAATAATTGTGTTTGTGTGTGTGTATATATATAAAAGTAGTCTGTATTTACCCAAAAAGAAATATGTTAATATGCATAAATATTAATTATTGACTAGTCTCTTTTTAGGGAATGTACGTATGTATTTTTGAATTATTTTTTAAATTAGGAAACCATCATAAAATACTTTATGAAATTTCTATAACATTTTTTAAAGAAAATATTTTCAAATTGCAAAACAGTAAGTTGATTTAATTTTATTGAAATTTTTGTGTGATGGTGCTAACAGCCTAACACCATGACGTAGTGAACATTAATGAACATATTTCGGGTAACAGTTTTTGGTTGCATTAATTTTCAATGTTGAAATTCATAACTTGACGTCGTGCTCACATTCTCGATAAGATGGAACATAAGTAGTCTTCTTTCTATTTATTTATTTTTAATTGTCAGAATAATATATATATATATATATATATATATATATATATATATATATATATATATATATATATATATACACTTAGAATCCCATTAGAAAATACTCCCGAGAGAAAACTATGGGGGTGTTTGATTGGGAGGAAGGAATTAAGAAGGAAAAGAATTGCAATTCGGTGGAAAAAGAATAAGGTAGGAATAATGTAGAAATTTAAATTACATTGTTTGGTAGGGATCGGAGTAATAGAATTGTTGGGGATAAGAAGGAAAAAATGGTAAAAAGACTAAAATGTCCTTGTATAATAATAATAATAACAATCAACAATGGGTACTTTTGTCATTTCTTTCATATTTTCCTTCCCCACATGCATTGAATTGTAATTCATGGGGGTACCTCACGAATTGCAATTTAACAAACGGAGGGAATTGCAATTCCATGGAACTGCATTGCAATTTCCTCTAACCAAACACTGTAATTCAAGCCTTCATTGAATTGCAATTCAATTACAACCAAATTACATCCAACCAAACACCTCGTAAGAATCAACCTTGCTTCTAATTATGTGGTGATATTTCTATAATTATCATCAACTGAGAAAATTTCAATTTTGGTCCATTGACTATTGGAGTTGTGTTAATTGCAACACTTGACTTTCAAAAATATTAATTTAGTACTTTGACTATGTAATTTTTATCAATTTTGGTCACGCCGGCCAAATTGCCGGCCAAATCTCACAGGAAAAATTTAATAGGTCAAATAATGAGGGTATTTTAGTCATTTTACTATCTTTTGTTTCTTCTCCGATCGGCTTCTCCCCATTTCCGGCTTCTCCGATGAGCTTTCTTGTTTTCTTTCCCTATTACTTCTCTCATATTCTACCTTTCTCCTCTGTAAAAAAAATGCCGGCAGCTAGCTATAAACAAAACCGGAGAAGAGAGTGGAGGAGGAGAGCCATAGCTGCTAAGATATATGTTGGGCTGAGAGCTCAGGGGAACTACAATCTCCCTAAGCACTGCGACAACAACGAGGTCCTCAGGTTGGACCGTCGAGCCCGACATCACCACTTATCGCAAGGTTCTTCTTCTTCTTCTTCTTCTTCTTCTTCTTCTTCTTCATATATGTGCAATCAAAGAATGAATTTGTGTTCATTTCATCTTTGCTAATGGGATTTAACCTGGGTTCCATAGATCTAGATATTTACCGACATGGGTTTGCTTTGTTTGGATCATACACTGAGACCATCTCCAACCATTGCACCAAATTCTGCACCAAATTTTACACCAAAAAGGAATATTCCCAGCATATTCTTACACCAAATTTTTTTCATCTCCAACCCATTACACCAAATTCTGCACCAAATTTTATTCCTACACCCCTCATAAAGTTTATATTTATACTTTTATTCTTTTAACAAAACTAATAGTTGTAATTTAATAAATTAGACTTTAATTATATTATATATTTTATTTTTAATTAAATTATATTTAATATTAATTTTATTTTAATCGTCTTCTTGATAAGATCTTTGAAATGATATAATTTTATTTTAATAATATACAATTTATATTTAATTTTATGTTTATATGATACAATATAATTATAATGCAAATATTATTTTATTCCACAATAATAAATAACACCCGCTACATTTAATTATTAGAATTACCATAATGTTCCCACATATGCTCGATCAATGCATCACGAAGCGCATAATGCGTTTCTTTATTTTTGATTTGCCTATGTCGAGCAAGAAACTCTTCAAAGACAATTCTTTCATCTCTACATATATCAACCTCAGGAGCCGGTGCTTCTCTCCAACTTTGTATATCGACTTGCTCATCACGTTCATCTTCAATTATCATATTATGCATTATGATGCATGATGTCATTATATCATGCAATACATGTTTATCCCAAAAACGTACTGGTCCCTTGACTATTGCAAATCTTGATTGGAGGACCCCAAATGCACGTTCTACATCCTTTCTACATGCTTCTTGCATCATTGCAAATAACTTTTTCTTTGGTCCTAGGGGCTGATGAATAGTTTGCACCAGGGTTGACCATTTCGGATATATCCCATCAGCTAAATAATATCATGTATCGTACACTTTCCCTTGAATAACATAATGAGCAGGAGGTGCCGTACCATTTGCAATGTTTGCAAACAAATGTGATGCCTTCAACACATTAATATCATTATTCGACCCCGGCAAACCAAAATGTGCATGCCAAATCCACAAATCATAATCAGCTACGGCCTCGAGAACAATAGTTGGTTCTCGACTACGCCCAGCATATTGTCCGGCCCAAGCTGTTGGACAGTTTTTCCAAGTCCAATGCATGAAGTCTAAACTCCCAAGCATCCCTGGAAAGCCACGCCTCTCACCAATTTCAAGCAACCTTGCAACATCATTAGCATCTGGCGCTCTTAGATAGCGTTGTCCAAAGACCTCTACGACCGCTCTGCAAAATCTCTTCAAACTTTCAATTGCTGTTGATTCCCCAATTTGGATGTATTCATCGGTTGCATCTGCTGCTACTCCATATGCCAAAATTCGAAATGCTGATGTTACTTTTTGTAAAGTAGACAAGCCTAGTCTACCGATTGTATCTCTCCGTTGCACAAAGTAATTGTCGTGCTCTGCAACAGCATTGGCAATTCGTAAGAACAAATTTCGACTCATTCGAAATCGTCTACGAAATATTGCCTCATTATATTTTGGATTTTCTGAAAAATAATCAGCATGTAATCTTCGATCACCATCTTCACGGTCACGGTGAATCACTCTATGCCCAGAAATTGACCCGCCATGACTTGGGTTGATGGCTTGAGTAGACATAATCTCCAAACAGTAAGCCATGGCAGCATTGTTGTTAGCATACGTACTTAGTAGTGCTTGTTTTTGTGATTGTATTGTAGCAATGAGATCATCGTCATCCTCTTGCGAGGATGAAGATGGGTGTTGGGGTGATGATGAAAAGGGGTGTGAGGGATTCATATCTTAGGATTGCTATGGTGAAAGATAAGTGTGTATGTCATGTATTTATATATCTGATATGATATCTTTCCCAAATCCTAAAAGCATTTGTTTTCAACCGTAGGATTATATCACAACCATCTTAGCCATTAATTGGTATTCATATACTTCCAACACACAATCCAAGATCTGACATGATATCTTTCCCAAATCCCAAAAGTAATTGTTTTCAACCGTAGGATTATATCACAACCATCTTAGCCATTAATTGGTATTCATATACTTCCAACACACAATCCAAGATCTGACATGATATCTTTCCCAAATCCCAAAAGCATTTGTTTTCAACCGTAGGATTATATCACAACCATCTTAGCCATTAATTGGTATTCATATACTTCCAACACACAATCCAAGATCTGACATGATATCTTTCCCAAATCCCAAAAGCAATTGTTTTCAACCGTAGGATTATATCACAACCATCTTAGCCATTAATTGGTATTCATATACTTCCAACACACAATCCAAGATCTGACATGATATCTTTCCCAAATCCTAAAAGCATTTGTTTTCAACCGTAGGATTATATCACAACCATCTTAGCCATTAATTGGTATTCATATATTTCCAACACACAATCCAAGATCTGACATGATATCTTTCCCAAATCCCAAAAGCAATTGTTTTCAACCGTAGGATTATATCACAACCATCTTAGCCATTAATTGGTATTCATATACTTCCAACGCACAATCCAAGATCTGACATGATATCTTTCCCAAATCCCAAAAGCAATTGTTTTCAACCGTAGGATTATATCACAACCATCTTAGCCATTAATTGATTTTTGCTTTCACTCTATATAATAGTACACCACCAAATCAGAAACCACAACTCTTTGAATTCTCTATTCATATAACTCTTGGCTCTTTGAATTCTCTATTCTATATTCCTCTCCATCCTCTTTTAAAAAATGTCCAAGGCACGCACAATTCGAACTAGTTCATACTCTATTGAGGAAGATAAACTCCTTTGTCATGTGTATGTTAATATTTGCCAAGATAAAGCTACGGGTCATCATCAAGCTGGGGACGTATTTTGGACTCGTATTATGAATGCTTATCATGAAGCGCTACCAGCAAATGTTAGAAGCACTTGATCATTGAGGTCAATTACGTCCCAGATGCAAACTATAATGAAAGCTGTCGCCAAATTCAGAGGATGTATTGTACAGGTTGAGAACTTGAATCCGAGTGGAGCTTCAGAAACAGAAATTGTGAGTATTTTGTGTTTATATATAAATTGTGAATACTTTGAACGTTTGTATTATTTACTTACTTTAATTGTGGTTTATAACAGATTAATAGGGCAAAAGCACTAATGGAACAAGATGCCAAATTTAAAAATGGTTTTAAATTTGATCATGTATGGCCTATTGTTAAAGACTTGGAGAAATTTCAAAGTCCTTCGGGTAGAGAACCAAGTGTTGCAAGTCGAAAGCGAAGTTCTGACATTGAAGGTGCAGAGTCACAAGGCGATAAGTCAATAGGTTCATCATCGTTTTGCCTTAACTTAGACGATGATTTCGAAAGTCAGGGCTTGAACAATGAACGTCCTACCGGGCGTAACAAGGAAAAAAAGAAGAAGCAAGCATTTGCAGAATGTCATGATTATTTTGCCAAAGTCACAGAACATAATGAAAAGATCGCACAAATGTTCGAACAAAGTCAAACTCAACTCCAAAAAAATTATGAGCTTCAAATGATAAAAGCTCAAAATGAAACGATAAAATTTCAAAATGAAGCAAAGCAACTACAGTTGGCGGAACAACAGGAAGATAACAGAATCATGAGCATAGATGTTGATTCCATCACAGATCCAATAAGGCGTGATTGGCTTAAAAATACACAATTACAAATTCATGCAAAGAGAGCTCGTCAACCACTTGGAGGAGAAGAATCAAGCAGTCAGTTTACTCAATATTTTAATCATTTGGGAGGAAATGATGCTGGCCTAGGAGATTATTGAATTAAGTATGTTTAAAGTAGTTTTAATTAAGTTCTATGTGTTTGTTTTAAATTAAGTATGTTTAAAGTAGTTTTAATTAAGTTTTATGTGTTAGCTTTAAATTAAGTATGTAATTTCCTTTAATTTTGTTATAATTAAGCTTTATGTGTTTTCATTTTTAATTAATCTATGTTCAATATTAGACTTATTTTAATCGTCTTGATGAGATCTTTCAAATGATATAATTCATTTTAAATAATATAAAATTTATAGTTAACAATTTAACAAAATATACAAATATATTAAAACAAAAAAACAAAACACAAATGGAATTAAACAAACAAGAGGGGTTAAAATGAAAAAAAAAAAAATTATAGCGCTTTGGCGTACTGTGAACAGTGCTGCGCCAAATATGGCGCAGCACTGTTCACAGTGCGCCAAAAATTTGGTGAAATGGCGCTGGGTTGGAGCATTTTTTTTGGTGTTTTGGCGCAATGGCGCTGCCTTTGGAGATGGTCTGATGCCTGATTAGCTTTTTCCAAGATTTGATCCAGAAAACACTGGATTTTTTCTTTGATATTTAGGGCTATATGCTACTTTTCCTTTTCATGTCATTGTATAACCCATGGCCCTGCTTTTCAACTGTTTCTCCGCTGAATTTATCCACGTCTCCTCAATTCTTGAAAGATTTTATGGATTACACACCTTTCCAAAAATTCATATCGATTGGGTTTTGTTTACAGCTAGGTGTCGACATTTTTTTTTTTACAGAGGAGAAAGGCAGAAGATGAGAGAAGTAATTGGGAAAGAAAACAAGAAATCTCACCGGAGAAGCTGGAAATGGGGAGAAGATATCGGAGAAGAAACAAAAGATAGTAAAATGACTAAAATACCCTATTTATTTGACCTATTAAATTTTTTTCGGTGGGATTTGGCCGGCAATTTGGCCGGCGTGACCAAAATTGATAGAAATTGCATAGTCAAGGTACTAAATTTACATTTTTTAAAGTCAAGTGTTGCAATTAATACAACTCCAATAGTCAGTGGACCAAAATTGAAATTTTCTCATCATCAACTCTTCCCTGCAACTTTTAACACTATACTGTGCACTTTTAACAACTAAAATGTGCATTTCTGTATAACTTTTACAAAAATCAATGAAAAACTAAATTTTAAACTTAAATTGTAATGTTAAACCCTAAACCAAATAAAACTAAAAAACTCAGTTATAAAATTTAAAATTCAAACCCTAAGTGCACTGCACTTTCGAATTTTACAAAGTAATTATTAATACTAAATTAAACTTTCACTTTGTAATACTTAATTGTGCATATTTTAACAATTAAATATGCATTGAGACTTGCAAAATATATTGTTAAAAGTTGCACAATAAAGTTGGTGATAATTATGAAAATACTATCGTATTTTTTTAGTTTGATCTAATTTGATCATATATATATATATATATATATATATATATATATATATATATATATATGAAAATGTTCAAGGGAGAATAGGTTCTTTGATAGGTAAAAAGTGAAGGCTAATAGCCTAATATATAATTCATCTATTGATAGATTAAGAATTGATAGTTGTTGAAAAATAAGGGAAATATGGACGGATCAATTTTATAAATAATACAAATTTAAAAGTTTTTATTAATTATAAAATTGACATTGTGTTTTTAATTACTACAACTTTTCATTATTGATGAACCTTATGAATAACTACAATATTTTTTTACTGGAGGACCATGTTTTTATTGAACCCTCTTTATTGAACCCTTTCTATATAACGTGTTTATTTATTTAGAAAATTAAAATTGGCAATTCTCTAGTTCAATTAAAAATACATGTAAGAAACGTTATTTGGTATTGATCTGTCAAGCTATCAAAGTTGTTGCCTAATTAAAAATTCAAAAATTTGTTATAGCAAATGTATAGGATTTTATTCTTTTTATTTGTATTTTTTATTTTTTATTTTGGTTTGTTTGGGGATGTGTGTAATCTTTTATTTATATAACTTTTACCATGTATCGAAAGTTACAAAGCTAAACGAGTTGAGATAAAAGTTTAAAGGCTGTTTACTAACTGAAAATTTCTGGGAATTTCCGGAAACTAGAAAATAGAAAACAGAAAATATATTTACTAACACAGTTTCCATTTTCAAAATTGAAAATAATTTTTAGAAATTTTTGAAAATCTGAAACACACTTAAAAACTGTTTTCAAAATAGAAAACAGAATCATCTATCATCTATTTAGTTATATGTCACTATAACCACATTACTATGATTACATTCATTATCATCTTTTTTTACTTATAACTATGTCCTATCTTTTCTACTTACCTTACTTATTTAAACATAATTTATTTGCTTACACTTTAAAGTTAGACATTAGTTACATTATCAAAATTAAGAATTAAACTCTATATAATGTTTTAGATTTTGATTGAACTCAATAGATTATTAGTTCGAATATTTTTAATTATGTTACATCATAATACAAGTTCGGTCTAGATATCGGATATTGAAATCTCACATATATTAGAATTCAAAGTAAATTTTATATATTCATATACATGTCATTCAAATGAATATATCCAAAAAAAATATTTTAAATATTAGCTCAAAAATATTAATATTATCTAAACTAAATTTTAGGTGAAAACTAAAAAATTAGAAAACAGAAAACAAAAAACAGAGAACAGTTTTATGTTAGTAAACAAGTTTTCTAAACAGGAAACAGAGAATTGAAAACAGAGAATGAATACTGAAAAATTAGAAAACGAAAATAGAGAACAGTTTTCTGTTAATAAACGGACCATAGTTTCAAATCTTTGGCACCAATTTTAAACTCACTATTCTAGTTTAGTGACATATAAACTATTATTATTATTATTAGTAACTTATCAAGTGTAGGAAAAAAATAAAAATAAAAAACATAAAATAAAAAAAGTGGATGCTAATGGAGTAATGGTTTTAAAATGGGACCAGATATTTTTTGAATGTTAATTTTATGGTTGGTTCTAATGAAGTAGACATGACCTTGAAATGACCATGATGAGAACTATAACAATTGCATTGAATGAGATTGATTACAATGGGTACAGATAATGAAATATATACAAGGAAGAGTCACATGATACTAGGATAAGGAGTTATAAACTAACTCAAATACATAGAGTTCTAATACTTCCCCAAAAGCACACGGTATATTAGTAACATGTAGCTTGTCTCTAAGAAAAGAAAATCTAGGACCAGGCAGAGCTTTTGTAAATATATCTGCAAGTTGATCTTTTAAATTGTTGAGATAAAATTGACTTGAATATCTCCAGAAGCCACTCTATCTCGCACAAAGTGATAATCAATTTCTACGTGCTTGGTGAGTGCATGAAAGATTGGATTGACACATATATAGGTAGCACCTAGATTGTCACACCATAGTTTAATTTTGTAACAGAAATACCTGGCCTGGCACCTTTATCTCGTGTAGTAACGAAATAATCCATAGAACTTCAGCACAAACATCTGTTAGAGCTTTGTATTCTACCTCAGTGGAAGACCTAGCAACAGTTCTTTATTTTTTACAAACCCAAGATATAAGATTAGTCTAGAAAAACTGCAAAATCACTAGTGGACTTACGATCTACAGGACAACCAGCCTAATCAGAATCAGAGAACGCATGAATTTCTTTCGACATTGACTTCCGTATACGCAACCCAAATTCAACTATTCCTTTAGCATACCTCAAGACACGTTTCAGCTGCTCCTAATGTGATGTGATAGGAGCATGCATATGCTGACAAAGCTTATTAACCGCAAATTAAAGGATAAATCAGGTCGTGTGATGGTGAGATATTGTAGTGCTACAGCCAGGCTCCTGTACTGCGTAGGATCATCATATAATTCTGCACTAAAGGGAACAATTTTCGAAACAAATATAAGAGTAGAAAGAGGTTTGCATTCTGCCATCCCAACACGTTTCAAAATATCATTCATATATCATTGTTGAGATAGTAGCATTCCATCATCACATTTAACAGTTTCAATGTCAAGAAAAAAATTTGGTTCACCAAGATCTCGAATCTTGAAAGTAGCAGACAGTTTTGAGAGTAAGTGATTCACTAGAGTGTGATCACTTCCCATTATAAGAATATAATCCACATATACCAAAAAATAAACCAGTGCAGAATCTTGAGAGAAGTAGTACAAAGAGACATTTGTCTTTGATGCTTGAAAATCAACTGATGATATTAAAAACGTGTGTACACGATTAAACCAAACTCTAGGAGCTTGTTTTATTCCATATAAAAAACGTTATAATAAGCAGACATTATTTGAAAACTAGCATCAATATAACCAGGGGGTTGCTTCGTATAAACAGTTTCATCCTATTTACCATTTAAAAAAGTATTATGAACATCTAGTTGTCTGATAACCCATCCAGATGATAAAACTAAGGATAATAGAAGCCTTACAATTGTGGGTTTCACCACTAGACTAAATATATCGAAAAAGTCCTGACCTGAAACCTAATTGAAACCTTTTGCTACTAACTTGGCTTTATGTCTCTCAATAGTACCACCAGCCTTCCTTTTCGTGCAAAACACCCATTTACAACTAATAAAATTCATACCTGTAGTGGAAGGAACTAGGGACCGAGTCTAATTTTGAAGAAGATCATTAAATTCTTGGTCCATAGCTTCATGCCACTCAGGATACTTAACAGCTGGAGTGTAACATGTAGGTTCCATAGGACAGACTTGAGTTGCTAGAGCCGTAGGAGGAGCCTGAGACTTACTGCGAGTCGCCATGGAGTGAGTGTGGACAGTCAGTCTCGTCGACCTGCCACGCGAACGTCGTACAACCTCTACGGGTTCGGTCGAGGATGGCGCAGGCTGCACGGAATCTACTTGCATGGACTCGTCCAGCAGTACGGGCTCTAGCGACGAATCTGGGCGCACGGAATCTGACGCAGCAGTGCTGGCGTCATGGTGGAGAGTGGATTCCGCTC